TGTGTTGTGGTGTGGTGTGGTGTGGTGTGTTGTGTTGTTATTGTTGTTTTGAGCAATTGGACGCGTCAATACGTCACAACATAAAAACTCTATTCCTCTATCACACAGGTATTAGGTATGAACGTCGTATTGATGTAGCTCAAGCAGCGGTATAATGCATGCAAATGATAATTGATAATTATTCTTCTGTTATGTAGATTATTATTGTCATATATTAAACTTTTTAAAAAGCTGGCCCATTGGTATTCTTTTTTCAATAAAGTTAGTCACCTGAAAAGCTGCAAAGCTTAGACCGACAAGAATCATGGGTAAATACATTTTAGATGTTTCAAACGGTTGATAACTATTGATGGAATAGACCCTTTCAGCTGGGCATAATGTTTTCCCATTTCAGATCACGTCATTCCCTAGAGCATTATTTCTTTTTTTAACGTTTAGAAGACACATGAATACGACCCAAACGAAGAATCTTAGGAAGGAAAGCTAAGGAAAAGTCTATTAAGAACTTTTACCAGCTACAGTTTCGCCTCATTTTAGTAACTTCAAATTGTATTTTGTATCAAAGCTTTATATGTTGGATATGAATTGTTTCTCATGACCCTTAGCGGTCTCAGTTTTGTAAGTTTTCGTAAATAATTTTATTGAACTAAGTATTACCTCCCTTTCGTCAATGTTTGAGAGCGGTGAGAATAAGATCATAGATAACATTTTAAATAAAATGAAATAAAATAGGTAAGAGCAAAGAAACGTAAAAATCACGCTATAGAGGTTTTGTACCATCACGTGTTCACACCCATAATACAGCTTGGGCTGCCTGTGGTTAGATGGCAGAACAATAAAATCCCTTTGCTCTCGGGAATTGAATTCTTTCTCATGTAAAACGATTGTATTTTCTTGCCATCTAACATGGCTGTCGTCACTTGATGATGCAAAACTTCTATTCTAGTCTAAACTGTCTTGTATAGCGACTCCTGGTGCTGGGAGCCTTTTAAAAGTTAAGTAAGTAGATCTAAACGAATGATTGTATTTTTCATGATCAGGTTTGGGAGAATGCATTCGATGAGCTACGTGTATATTCATCCGAATACCCTGTCATGTTGACCGAGGCTCCTCTCAACCCTAAGAAAAATAGAGAGCGCATGCTTCAACTGATGTTCGAGACATTCAATGTGCCTTGTATGTTTGTCGCTGTACAGGCTGTGATGGCCTTGTATGCTTCTGGGCGGACTACAGGTAAGCCTACTGCATCATAATCACCACCAAAACACTCGTCACCACTGAACTCCACAACTCTGCAAATTTGTTGCGCGCGGGGTGGTAGTACGAACCGCATTTGCTCTGCAACTTGCAAAGGAACAATATCGCGCGACATGTTGTGCAATTTTGTTGCCCGTATTACCCCCTCTTAAGAGCAATATTCCTCCATGACTACGATTTGATACCTTATGGAAACCCATGAATATTCCCACATGTATTTATCTAGGCGCTGTATTTGACTGCGGTGATGGCGTAAGTCACACAGTACCAGTCTACGAAGGCTACATGCTACCCCACGCCACTCAGAGAATGAACCTAGCAGGTAGAGACATTACTGCGCACTTACAGCGCTTGATAACAGAGCGAGGCTACTCGTTCAAGACTTCAGCTGAACACCAGATTATCAGAGACCTCAAGGAGAAGCTATGCTACGTGGCTCAAGATTTTGATAAAGAAATTGAGGAGTCTGAGACAAGTGATAACTGCGAGGCATTGTATACTGTAAGTACGTCGATAAAGATACCTTAGAAGCTAAGTGGACCATTTGCATGATGCCATCCATTTACTGCCAATGTCAGAAGGTTTTGTAAGAACAGCAAGGCCAATATTTCTTTCTTTCTTTCTTTCTTTCTTTCTTTCTTTCTTTCTTTCTGGACAATATTTGAGCAGAGATGCCCAGTTCAGCATAGCTGGTTTAAGAGGGGCTCTGCATAAAACACATCACATTTATTTGAATATCACCATATTCACTGAGCCTGAGGGGAATAATTTTTTAGTATAATTTTAGACTTGAATATCAGAGAAAAGTCGAAATTCAGGATAAAAAAACGTCTTAGTATTTCTTCCAAGCTGGAAAACTTTGGAAAACCTCATAATCACCGTTCGAGCAATGATTATCGTCTCAGAATCACCGGTCGCTCGACCAATCACAGCTCGAGAAACTCTATATTCAAGTCTAAAATTGTACTAAAATTCTATGATTGTCTTACTTGCAGTTACCAGACGGCCACTCATTGCACATCGGTAATGAAAGGTTCCGCGCACCAGAAGCGCTGTTCCAACCCTCTCTCCTCGGACAAGACATTGACGGTATTCACGAGTCTATTTACAAGTGCATCAAGAAATGTGACATCGATATAAGATCTGATCTTTTCCACAACATACTGCTGTCAGGTAAAACAATATTGATTTTTAAAAACAAGTGAATGATAGCATCTAATGCGCATGCTCATAATAGTAATAATAATAATAATAATAATAATAATAATAGCACTTATTTTAACACGATGAAATTACAGTTACAAACTGATGTGGTCATAACATAGGCGGATTGATTGGCTAATTATTTGAAAGACGTTTCTGTTAACTTTCACCTTTCACCTTTAGATTTTTCAATCAACTATTGGCCATAAATACATCTTTCTGCATTAATGGCTGACAAGTGCACCAAAACGAGGTCCTGGGTCATTAGCTCGCAATAAAATATATAGAAGCATGTTTTGACCTGAATACTCCCGTTATGGAGTTCGCCTTTTCTCGGTTTTAGCCTCGATTGTGTACAAATTTGTTCTTTTCTTTTATTAAGGTCCATTGTATAGTAAGCAATGTACGTACTACGGAACAATACGGGAAGTGGTTACATGAGAGTGTTACATGAAAAACTGGGGACCGAGGGCCAAATGCAAAGACATAATATGGTGTCAACGCAAAGTATACACTAGTTCTGTCTTTCGTTTCTTCTTACATCCAGGAACGCGACAATTGCACARCAAAAATTATGAGAAAATACTGTAAATTTGTAAATTTGGCCCTGGATGCCTCGTTTTCAACCGGCCGTGCGCCATTTTGGATTTAGGTTTATTCGCGCTATCCACCTTTATTTTGTATGAGCAGCCTTGCTCAGCCTTGCAACATGACTGGGTGACCTCTTTTTCGTGCGCTCCTCAGCCATTATGAGAACGGTGTATACCATATAGTAATGTGACATTCGCTTTTGCAATACTAATTTTTTTATCCTATTCCCATAGGAGGCACAACTCTTCTCCCAGGATTTAGTTCACGCCTTCATAAAGAAATGTACACGCTTATCAACTCACGTGAGCCGAACCTTGTAAGAATCATCAATCCCGAGGAACGGCAGTACTCTGTATGGTGTGGCAGTGCTGTGTTGGCAGGATTATCTACCTTCCCACAGATGTGTATTACTTCACAGGAATATGACGAACATGGACCTGATATCGTACACCGAAAGTGCTTCTAATTTCAAATGATATTTTAATAGATAATTAACTACATAAGAATAAATAATGTGGTATCAGCAGCAGAAATAATAAGAGAATAAGTGAGTAAATTAAAGGTTTTCTCGGAGGCCATGTTGGAGGAACTTAACAAAAGAATTGTCAATGAATTCTTTTGTTATATCCTCTAACATGGCAGCCGTGTCTTTGGTTATTTTATTCTCTTGGCGATGGTTGAAAACCATCAATATGGCCTCAGTACTGCGAGCTGCACGCTGAGTTTTGGCTTTTCGCTGCCGTCAATCAAAAATGATCCCTCAGTACCTTATCTTTTGTATTCTTGACTGGTAACCTGCGTCACATCCGGAATTTTCTTTCATTTACAAAGAAAATTCCGGATGTGACGCAGGCTATTGACTGGCGGCAGTAAAAAACGATTTCACAACAAGCCGTTAAAATGTCTGAGTTCGCAAATTATGGAAAACCGCAGTAATACTGCTGAAGTCTGGGAAAAATTACAGGCTGAGAACAGGATTTGCACCCACTGCAATACTGTTGCAACACTCTTACCACATGAGCTATCTAAGATCATCAAAGCCACAGTGGTAGAATACAGGAGAGGTCATTTACATTCTCTGTTTTGAAATATATTCATAATAGAGTTATTTTACTTATTTTAGCAGTCACACAAATGGAAATAAGATATACTATCTTTCATTTGTCTACTAACTATTTTACACTAAAACCACTCTAGAGTGAAAGCATTTAACCCGTGAAATAAAAAAATACTAGTCAAATAGACACAATAGAAAGCAATGGAATTAGGGTCTATAAATGTGTATTAGTCTAACATCTATTTCACGGGTTAAATGACTTTACTCTATTAGTGAAGTCATATAATTCAAACCATCATAAACTGGAAATCCTAGATGCTGCCACTCTTTATAACTACATTTTAACCTACCAGCCACGCGGTTAGATTTTTGAAATGCTTTTGAAATTTTGGTAGTGGTAAGATATAATATATAAAGATATATAAAGATATACAGTCAATGTCATTAACGTTGTCCACCGAAAAAAGACATTTACACATTTACACATTTACACATTTAGACTAAAGTGAGCCTGAACTTTGAATGTAAAATTCAACTCGTGAATCGATAATCCAGAATGCCTTGACCATTTAGTGAGGATTTAAGATGGAGAATTGTACTTCAGCGTTTGTTTTATGCCAGAACGTTCGAGGAAACACGTGATATTTCTTCTTTCATATGTCTAAATGTATAAATGTCTAAATGTCTAAAGGCTGGTTTTCACTAGGCATAAGCATAAGCATAAGCACAAGCATAAGCACAAGCATAAGCACAAGCATAAGCTAGTGAGGACAGTGCCGACATAAGCATAAGCGCAAGCATAAGCACAAACACAAGAAAACCAACATGTTCGTTTTTCTTATGCTTATGCTTGTCCTAGTGTCAAGTGAAAATAGGAAAAACATAAGCACAAGCACAAGCGAAGGTATTAAACCAATCACRGAACACTGGGTACCAACCCGGCTTACCGTGAGAAACAAAATGGCGGACGAAGAGAGTGTTGTGCTCATTGACGAAAAACTAGCAGAAACTGTACGTGGATTTCCTATCCTTTTTGATAAATCCTTGAAAGATTTTAAAGATCGAAACAAAAAGGATCTTGCATGGAGTGACGTTGCCACCTCGGTTGGGTTTGCTTCAGGTAAACTGCAAACGTTTTTGTTTTGTTCTAGTGATTTTGCATCCTTCAGTATACGAAGTTTTAAGCTTAATATCATGAATTAACCATCAATGTTTTGATAGGGAAAGATGCCGAAAATGCATTTAAGAACCTTCGTAATCGTTACACGAGGGATAAGAAGAAATTACAGTGTGTAAAAGTGAGTGGCACAGACACAAAGACTGTCAACGAGGTCAAGAGCGAGACAAGTGACATGTTCCCCTATTTAGCCTGGTTGGACGAATATATCAAGCCACGCCGTTCATCATCGAATATGGTTGCCTCCATGTCTGAAGATGGTAGCAACATTGATGAAGAAGAAGCTTCTGATGATAAGACTGATCCTTCTTTGGACTCGGACTGCAGTGAACCTACAGTTATTAAATCCAAGACCACAGGGAGAACAAAAAACATAAAAAGATCAAAGAGGGATGACTTTGAAAGTGCAGGTATAGAACTAATAAAGAGTATTGGGAGTAAACTTGACCAAAGAAAGGAACCCGAGAAGGACAAAGATGAAGAGACCATTTTTWCAGAATTGATAGGAACTCAGCTGAAAAAGATGCCTTTGCATGACAGATTAATGGCTAAGATGGAGATAAACCAAACAATGTACAAATTCATGATGAAGAATACATCAGATTACAGTTATCCCAATTTTGAGAGCCCCGTAGCAACAATGCCAAATCAATTTGCACGACCTTTCCCTCCCAATCAGCTTTGTCAACCAGTGACTGGAATGGCTACATCTGATAACCATCCTTCACCTGTCACTTCACCCCTGGGAACCTTCAGGATGACATCTACTCCTGAAACTCGGTTCCAGAAACCCACAAGGGTCATGACTCCACCAATCAATGAAATTCAGAATGTCTTTTCAAGAGAGACTTCAGACAGTGAGACAAATTTTGARCTATATCCTCGTGGATATTTCTTTGAAGAGCTTAGGCGTGACAAACAAAAATAACATTCTTTACTTATCGTATGCAAGAAATAATTATGATGAAAAGATTGATGATGGATCTTGTTGTACAATGATAAGGCTTGTTTTTATTTAAAACTCGGCAAATGTTAATATATATATATATATATATACATTACAGAGATGTTATAAAACAACTTAAAATTTATCTCATCAGTTTTGATATTTTTCACATGTTAGTTAAGTTTGAGTTATTTATTAAATCATGGAATTTTGAGCAAAAATAAATTTAATTAAATAATAAATATTTGACACTCCTACTGATTAGGAATGTTTCATAATAAAATGTTATAATAAAATTTTCATAGTCTTCCCCCTTCCGGTTGTCATGCAACATTTCTCTTTAGCATTTGTTTGGAGAGAAGAGTTTTGTGACCCCAAGGACAGCTGCAAAGGAGAATACTTACCAAGGCAATCAAGTTGAAAATCATATTTATGAATTGGCTTCCTAATAGAGCAAATGCATCAAAACCATGAAATGAATTCAAAAGTGATACTTACAAACAGTACTTATTTAATAATTATCACTCAACCAGAACATTTGTTGCAGAATGGCATACAAGAGACCCTTTGTGATATTCACTTTATTCTTTGTGTAATGAATGTTCTGGCTGAGTGATAGTTACTAAATAAGTACTATTTGTAAGTATCAATTTTGAGTTTGTTTCATGGTTTTGATGTGTTTGCTCTAAAATATCACTAGCAACAATAACAACAACAACATCCTCCACCAAAGATGGTAGTATTTTAGGAGGGTTTGGGGGACATGCTCCCCCACAAAATTTTGAAATTCAGACCCTTATTTATTAGACCAAAATATTTATTACATTACAATTAATGATAATTTCAAGGCCCCTCAAGCCATCAGAAGAAAAACACCCCCCCCTATCTCTAAAATATCAGGTCCCCTTTTCATTCCCCCTTCGTCATATCAAATGAACTGTCCCTTAGAGACTGTTTATTATGTCACAGGGGGGCTGGTGATATTGTTAAGGTACAGCCCATTGTGAATATGTTAGTAGCTTGTCCCTTCTACCTGACCCAGTATGCAATGACAATATTCATAAAAAAAAACAAATTTGATGATGACTAATAACAGACTCTAAATTCATTTAACAATAATCATAGACTCTGAATTCAGGTTGTAGGATCGAGGCTAGTAGGCTAGTATGTTGGTCCCCTACTTCGTACATAGTCCCACTGCCATGGCACTTGACCTTTGTCAGATAAGAAATAATCCTTCAAGGCATTTCGTACTTCAATTGCAGAATTGGACTGTCTCCTACCCYTTAAAGTGGCCATGTGGCTCATAGCTCCACTGCCTTCTCTTGGTACCTCTTTCCTCCACTGCCCAGGCTTGATTTTCCCACTGCTGTCTTCGCTGTCACAGAAGCCATTGGGACAGTATCCTGCACTTTCGGTTTGTCTGAGAAAATTGTGTAAGCACACTGCTGCTTTTGTGATTGACATTGCAGTTTCAACTGAAGCATTAATTGCATGAGCAAAAATTCCCCACCTAGCCCTTAGGATGCCAAAGGTATTTTCTATGACACGTCTGGCTCGGGATAAGCGATAGTTAAATATCCTTTGGCTCTCTGAAATACCACGTCCTGGGTATGGCCGCTGCATCCATGTTTTCAAACCAAAAATCTCGTCTCCTACCAAAAAGTATGGAAGCTGTTGAATATTACAGCCATCCAGTGGTTCTGGATCTGGTATTCCCAAGGTGTTGTTTTCCAGACCTTTTCCTATTGGGGAATTTTGTAGTACCCCACTATCGTTATTGCTTCCATAGTCACCAACATTAACAAGTGAAAACACATAATGAGCATCACAAACAGCCATCAATACGATTGAGTAAAAGCCTTTGTAATTATAATAGAGTGATCCTGTGTTTCCTGGACATTCAATGGCTATGTGTTTTCCATCTATAGCCCCCACACAATGGGGCATATTCCAGATGCTACTAAAGTCTTCTTCGATATGTTTCCAATCTTCAGATGTACTTGGTGGTCTCAAATACGTTTCACTAAGAGCATCCCAGATGGCCAAGCAGGTATCTTGTATGATATTGCTAACAGTTGTCCTTCCAATTCTGTATGCAAAGGACATGCTTTGTTGTGAGTTCCCAGAGGCTAAATATCTGATAGTTAATGCAAGTCTTTCTGCAGGTTCGATAGCTTGCCTCATTCTAGTTGTATTTTTTCTAATGTGTGGACCCACTATTGACAGCAAATAATCAAAATTCTCAGGGGACATTCTCATGTACCTGAAATTCGAAATGTTTTTAAATGAGTTAGACTAAATGAGTTAGCAAGATTTTAATGGCACTTGACGCAATTAGATGAACCGGGGATAGAGCATCATGGCTTTTAATTCAAACTTCATTCAAACAATAGCCCATAGAAGCAAAAATTATCCCACGTTTACGAAGATTAAAACTTACCTGAAGTACATCTCTCTATCGCCAAACCGTAATTCCCTGACTAGATTATTAAACTCTCCTTGTCTCCTTCTGTGACGATAAATGTCTCTAATCCAAAATCTTTTCGGTCTTCTGCTTTTTCGCTTTATTTTGTCACGAAAAAGGCGTACTAATATTATTAAAGAGAGGTATAGAAAAATCTCCTCGTCGTCCATTTTGTTTTGACTTTCACTCTGGTTCCCATTCCCTCTCGTACTAATTTTTCTTTAGTGCGCATGCGTACGTGCTTATGCTTATGTCGGCACTGTCCTCACTAGCTTATGCTTGTGCTTATGCTTGTGCTTATGCTTATGCTTATGCCTAGTGAAAACCAGCCTTAAATGTGTAAATGTCTTTTTTCGGTGGACAACGTTAATGACATTGACTGTATATATATATAATATATATAATGATATTACTTGCGGTGGTGATAAGCGATGACAAGTTTTTATTTTTTATTTTTTATTTTTATTTTTTATTTTATTTAAATCTATGCATATTTATTACTGGTTTATAATTAGCATTTTTATCTTTTTGTTTTGTCCTAAAAATAAGCAACGAAGAACCGTATTGATCCCAATATTCATGAGTTTCTATTATGAATTATTATATTGATTGACTTTAATATTTATCAAGAAGCATGAGGAAATTTCTCTAAATTAGGAATATAGATATACCAAAATTTAGATTTTTAAAGACAAATTAAATAAGTAAATAATAATGATAGTAGGAAAAATTCATTTACACTGGTCATTTGTAAGTGTGTTTCTTTTTTTTAGATTTTAAACAACCCATGAACAGCGTGTGCACACATTCTCTACTTTGGCATGCCCCATAATGTTTTGCGCCTTGAGGTAACCAATCAAAACACTGTCCCAAAATGAAAGGTTCTTTAATTCACCTGCGATAGCCGTCAGGTCGTAAACACTTTGTTGGATTGTGTTACGGTCACCAAAAATGTCGGACATCGTTCTCGGATTCCACCAGAGTGAAGTTGGTGTCAGGTTTTAGAGTCAGATTTTTGAGTCAGATTTTCGGATCTAGTGTCAGATTTTTTCCGGGGGGAGTCACATCATGTTAAACACAAAGTCTCTATATTCGTAGAAACGCTTTGATTTACTATAAAACCCGCGCCGTGCTTTACTCACACAAAATTTCTATATTTTCGTTGTCTTCGTGGATCGAAACACTCACCTCAAATAAAATAAACAGCGGTTTCAGATTTTTTGAGCTGTTTTATCTACTATCAACGGGCATCATGCCACAAATACTTCGAGTACCGCTCCTATATATCGAGTTACTGAACCCTTTTATTTCAAAATGTTGACGCACTTTTTCTTAACGAAAAATATCCATGCTTTACGTCGAAGACCCTAAGCCGTAGTTTGGTGTCCAAATAAACTGTCGATGAAGCAGTGCACATAAAAGCATTAAGAAATATCACTTGTTGTCAGATTTTTGAGTAGGATTTTTCTGTCACGCCGCGTGAGAGAGTGATCATGTTACAGCGGATTTCACGGTTACAAAATTATCTTTTCAACCATTATATTTTTCTTGAATTTTGACATCTCCCAACAAGCGTCATTTCTACGGGATCTTCATGAACGCAATTGGAAGTCAAAATCTAGTCTCCCGAAGAAATATCACTTGTTGTCAGATTTTTCTGTCACGCCGCGTGAGAGAGTGATCATGTTACAGCGGAAAACCCTGTTTATTTTATTTGAGGTGAGTGTTTCGATCCACGAAGACAACGAATGTATAGGAATTTCGTGTGAGTAAAGCATGGTGTGGGTTTAATATTAATAAAAACGTTTCTACGAATATAGAGCACTTTGTGTTCAACATGATGTGACGCCCCCCGGAAAAAATCTGACAATACATCCGAAAACCTGACTCAAAAATCTGACTCTAAAACCTGACACCAACTTCACTCTGGTTCGGATTCCCACACAAATTCACTGATTTTGGAGAGAAAATTTAGATAGATTTCTTTAGTTAGCTCTCTTAACAGCAATAAGAAAAGCTTCAATCAAGTTAGAAAAATGATATTTTACTTGTATTTAGAGAACTAACTAAACAAACCAAGTAAATAGTTCATTTAAAGTCAGTACATTTGTACGGAAATCCGAGAACAATGTCCGAACTTCTTGGTGACCGTAACACAATCCAACGCAATTTATACCACGTGACGGCTAGAGCCGAAAAGGTGAATTGAATGTACACTATATCTGTCTTTATCTGTACAATACTGATTATTAGTTCATTCTCAGGTAATTTCTCACTTTCAAGGGTTTGATGTTACAGAAAATGTATCATAACTTACGAAGAAATATTTAAAATTTACCGAAACTTCTTTTAGATTCTATCTCTTTCCGTTTGTTACTGTTTCATTTTACATTTATGGATATCAAGCGAGGTATTTTCCACATTGTCTCAGCTTTCAGCAAAGTTAAAAAGTCCAATATTCTCTCATGGGCTTCCTGTGTCTAAACAGCGCTACTAATGAACAGCGGCTTTCGATTTAATTCAAAATGACGGACGAGGTTCGTATTGTTTTGCGTCTTGCTTTTCTATCTCGTGTTTTGATCTTATTTCTTCAGGTAAGTCAAACTGCAGAATACAGAGTATTCTGTTGTGTTCTTTGATAGATATTACGTAAACAGTTATTTGGCGTTTTTTTCCCCAGGTCATTTTCAACTTCCTTGTTAACGATTACGATTCTTCTTCAACCATCGTTCGAAACACCACCAAATCTCTTGACAAAGCCGTGATATTTATCTTTGATGGCTTCCAGAAATGGGATTCTGTCTACTTCCTCCAGATTGCTAAAGATGGCTACCAATACGAACAGTACATGGCTTTCTTTCCCCTCTATCCATGGCTTGTCAGAGCTATATCTCTTCCGATCCATATGGTCCTTGGAAAATTCATAAGTATTGGTAGTATTCTGTTAGTTGTTGGCTGGATGGTTTCCTGTGCCTGCTTCTCTTTAGCTGCTGTATTCTTGTACAAGTTGAGTCTACAAGTCATGAAGGATAAATGTCTTGCATTCAACAGTAGTGTTCTATTCTGCATCAATCCTGCAAATGTCTTCATGTCTTCAGTGTACACTGAAAGTGTTTTTGCTTGCTGTTTGTTTTCTGGCCTCTACTGCCTGGAGAAATCCAACAGTGTTATGAACATTCTTGCATCTTCCCTAGTATTGTGTCTAGGAAGTGCATCAAGGTCTAACGGCATCGTATCATGTGGGTTTGTTCTGCATAAGCTTTTAAAAACATTGATGAGTGATATATTTACACAAGTCACTCCAATCCCTAGATTACGTCCGACATGGAAATCAGCAGTCTATGCACTCTTGATCACAATGTTTAAAGTTATAGTATCCATGGTGATAATTCTGTTACCATTGGTGGCATTCCAGCTATATGGATATTTTTTGTTCTGCTTGAAAACTGGACCTTCAACCCCTCCCTGGTGTTCCTGGAAATTACCATTATCATATTCATATATCCAAAATCATTATTGGAATGTTGGGTTTCTGAAATACTTTGAGGTGAAGCAAATCCCAAATTTTATTCTTGCATTGCCAATGGTGGTATTAAGTCTAATGGCTGTGTGGGAGTTTATCGGTGATAACAGCAATAGATTGACTGTGAAAACCCTTGGTCTTTGGCAACCAACAAACAACAAGTCATCAACTGAGTCAAGAAGGTAAGTATTTTGTAGTATAATATTGTCTGGTTAATGTGTAGTTCAGTCCAAAAATCATTCATACCCCCCCCCCCCCCCCCACACACACTGCTATACACTATGAATGCAGCCTAACCCAATTGTTCGATTGCATGTTACGTCATCGCAGACTCTCGAGTGAGCGTTATAACAAAAGATTTTTGTCTTTTAGCTCTCTTGGGAATGCTTGCAACCCATGCATCAATACAACTAGTATTTA